GTCTGTGCTAGAGTCATAGGGATGGCTTCTTTATTTCATTATTTTTTATAATATTATCATGAATATCCAGTATTTTTCAGTCAGAAACAACCAGTTGTTCTCGATGTTTGAATTGTTCGACCTTTGGCCGTTGGGTTCTGTTGACACAACCTCATCAGTCTTGGGCCGTTTTCTTTTGGAACTCATCATCTTCTTCTTGGATCCTGACTTGGAAAAAGTCATTTCCTCCTGGAGCCCTGGCTCCTTTTATTGGGGAATGCCACAGTCCTAGGGGCTGTTCATTGCGGATGGGTTGTCCTTAGTTCTAAACCAATTCAACAGATAAATGCACTTTTGAAAATGTTTTTATTAAATGCATTTTTGAAAATGTTTTCATGGATCAATTAGTTTTTCAGTTATAGTCATTCATTTCAGATCACTTTCCACTTTCAGGGTTTATTTTTCCTTTACTTTATTAATACTGTTTAATATAAAAGTATGTGAAAGACATGCAGAAAAGTCCGTTTTCGGGCCTGTCTCCGACAGAAGGTTTTTTCTCTCGTATTTTTATTAGTGTTTCTTTTACTAAATATTAGCAAATATTATTTATAGTTCACCCACACCCTTTCCTTTCTAATCAGCATCAATTTTTATGGCTGTTTAATGTCCCATTAAGGTGCGTTGATGGCGTAGTAGTGGGTTGCTAACCGCAAGGTCCCCAGTTCCAAATCACCAGTAGGGCTTTCTACTCCTGCAAAGAGTGAACTGTGTCAGAAACCCACTTGGGTCGCTATGAGCCAGCATCCACTTGATGACCGAGTTCGAGTGCCCCATTAGGTGAATGCTGGATTGAACATGTTGTTGTGTTATGGTAACGCAAGCTATGGCCGTAAGTTACTGAAGCCTCTCAGGCAGGAGCGATGAAGAAAAAACAAACAGGTTTTAAATGGAGGGAATTTCGTTTTTTTCCGTGAAGCCCATTCTTTCTAAAGAAACAGCCCTTTAGCTTTGCTTCGTTCATATGCCTGTTCAGACCTTTCCACCCTCTGCTGCTAGGAAGGCGTTTTAAGGAAGGCAATTTGGGCTGGGGCTCCAGCGTCACCATCTGCCACCGTGTGCTAACCCCGTGGCCAGATTCGGCTGACCCTTCGCAGGCTGCTGGCGGTGCTGCCCCCGGGGGCACGCGTGGCGCGCACCGCTGTACAGTGCGCCTGGAGACGTGCTCCTGCGGCTGTGCTCCATCCCTCCTCCCATCTGGCAGAAGCACAGGCAGCCACCGCGGCTAGTTCTCCATAGTTAGGATCCCTGGCGGCTACGTAGTGCGGGGCTGGGCGAGCGAGCGAGGGCCGCCCCGCCCGCGCACGGTGATGCCGGGATTGGGGGCGGGAGCGCCGCCTCGCCTGCTGCGCTCGCTCCCGCGCCCTCCCCGTGCCAGGCGCTCTCCTGCCTCGCGCCGTGCAGCGTCCGCACTGCAGATGCCCGCCGGCCTCCCTGCGCTCGGCCGCCCGGTG